GAACCTCAATGGGGGAATTATGTTTCTGTGAGGGACCAGAGTGGGACAGATGAAGATTTCCTACATCCCATTTTTGTTGTGACTATAAATCATTTTTGTTGTGGGTCCAAGGAGTTGAACCTTCTGATCACAGACTCACTCGCACAATTCACTGTATCCAGGAGGTGCTGTATAGCTGGATAGTGTGTGTGTGTGTGTGTTTTAACAATAAGACGAAATGAAATAGGAGTAACGACACTTGTTAAAAATAATTTATATGTTATAACATCATACCCAGAGTGTTGCTTTGACTCATTCATGCATGTTTGAGAAATCCTGAAATCAAATGTGGCAGCCATGTAATCGCTTGTTGGTACAAAGCTCCGCCTATTTACACAAAGCTCCTCCCTGGAGCTCAGTCTGCAGCCAAGCTCCCGCCCCACGGATCACCCCTCCCCTGAGGCATCGTTGTAAAGACATGCTGAAGTGACAGTGTCAGAAACGGGAGGTTTTTAAAGAGACAAAAGCCAATTTCAAGGTGTTTAAACAGACGATGATGCAAATTCAATTTTATTTTTGATTCATACAGCGTTTTCATAAGATCGGAAGGTAACATAGAATTGAACTAAGTACTTGACACTTTTGGTTATACAACAGCCGGGTCCCTCTGGTCCAATGACTTGGTTGTACTTTGCACCTGTCCAAAATATTGGTGCAGATTCTTAGCCATCCAGGACAGGGCAAACCCTAAAAGTTTAAAAACAAAGCATCTGGACTTCTAATCTGTTGTTGAAGAGATTCTGCTTCCCTTGAGCTTTTTCTGGATCAGAGTGTGGATCTTCAAACTGCATGAGATGCTTCATTTATGAAGATTGTTCTCACCCTGTCTCCCACCAGCAGGCATTCTGTTGGCTCACAGGAGACATGCTTTGATCACATGTCTGGAGGTGTGAATGAGTGAAAATTCAGAGCTGTATGTTTTGGAAAGCTGAATCTRAGACCTCCTCCTCTGTTTAACTGTTTAAAGCTGGTATATTTTGTTCGATGCAAATGGTTTCCTTTTTACCATTTGTCTCCTCTGTCTAAAATATGAACATTTTGGTCCTCAGCATATCTCTTGTCTTTGTGCAGAGCTGAGCAGCTGGTTCTCTCATGCTGAGTCATACTGTATGTCTGCGGAGAGGCTGGGTTGTTCTCTAGACCCTTTTATAAAATAGGCGACGCCACCTTTTGCATTTATGCTGCAGTAAAACAGAATACTCTGCCTCCAGATCTGAGATAAACCCAAATTGTATATACTTTTAGGAAATAAATGCTATTTGCACAAACAATTAGTACACATGTAAACTTTATGCATCAAAGTTTGTCATGGTTGAAAAGCAATGATAGACATATATGTAGCCTTCTTTTATTTTTGCACAGGATTTTGATTTCTCATAAACCTTTTGGTCTTTTTTCTCAGTTGTTGCCCACCTCAGACATACAAGCTTCTGCTGGTGCCTTTGTGTTGCCTCTGAACTGATGCACTCATGTAGATATACAGTTATATACAGAGAAAGAGTCATTAGTTATGTTGCCTCCTATAGTTACAAGTATCCATAGTCATGTTAGATTAAACAAATCAGTTTTAAAAATCTGTTGTTTTAAATGAAATTATATTTAATGATGTGTTTTTTGTGTTGTTTTTAAATAGTCTTTTATGACTTGCCCAAGAAACACTGTAAAAAATGAAATGTTGGATTTACTTAACCATGTTATGTTACCT